ATCAACTAAGATAAGCTCGAGAATTTGTACGTTTTTATTTTTTTGTATCTGCATGAACAAATCATGACGAATATTGCTATGAGTTAGAAAGACTGAAAAGCTGTTGGATTGTTACAAAAAATGCTGATGCTTCTAACAGTCTGTACTAGAACCAAATTCAGACGATGGGCTGTGTGTACATAAATTGCTTGTGGGGCTTTTTCCTTGATTCGAGCTTAGACACCGGAGTGTACACCACTCATAACTGAGGCTTCATCGTAACACTAAGCGACTAAGTGGTTCCAATCCAGCTTAAACTAATCAGCAATTTTAATGATAGGCAATGTTAGAGGAAAAGCATCTACCTGATGCATGTGATACGCTCCAAGTGGTTTATTATTGATGAGCTGTTTTTTTCAGATACGCCTAATTAAAACATTTGAAATTTCATCGTTAGGTTTTTGTAATTGTTCAAATTTATCACTGATCAACAATATTTGGTCTGATCAATTTTGTAATAGCCCTATTATTTCAAATAATACCGTCATCTTATGCCATATATTGCGATAGAAACAACTATTGAAAGTTGAAATGTTAATTTAAAGTCATACATTTTGTATTACGAGCTACGTAGAATAAACAATTTAATTTTATCTTAACACTTATTTATTTATTTATTTTTACACTTTTATTAAGTTTTTTTTCTTTTTTACATCTAATTATGTTTTTATGAAGAAATAAAAAAAGTTTTCATTAATAATATTACGAATATTATTACAATTATTAAGACTGTTATTATTACTGTTATTATTAATATCCTCCTTATTAATATTATTATTATCAAAAACTTTTGATGCTGATGTTACTGAAGTTGAAGTTATTGTTAAAGTCGGTGTTGTTGAGATGTTGAAGGCAGGCACAACTCTGTAAGGATAGTGACGGCGAAATGAAATAACTTTTCTGGTGTTGTTTTTTGTTGTTGAATTAGTTGGTGGAGGGGCTGCAACGACCCCAAGATGATGAGTTGAAACGTATGACCTATTTGTGTAAGTGATGTCCACATTTATCCCCTATATTTCTCAAGGTTGCGGCCTTGGTGGGTGAGACCCCAAAATAGGAGGATGTAGATCTGTTTGAAGGATGAAATAATAGTCGAGTTAATTGTAGTCACCCCAATGATGAGTTTTGATTTGCTCCCCAACACCGAGTTGGAGAGATCATCAATGTTCTTCAGCAAGGAGGAGTCTTCGTATGATGGATGTTTTGGTGGATGATAGATGGCACGCAACATGAAGTATGTATGATACACTGTCAATGATGCATTTGAGCATCATTGACACCATGAGGCGATATGTTATGAATTTAGATGACCTCTTTTATCCAATTTGTTGGATCACTTATAAATGAGTCTCATTAAATTTCATTTTTAATTTGTTAATATATTTACACACAAAAAATTAAATTGTACACCACATAAAAGAAGACAAAAGAAGGGAATGCCGATCGAAATATCAACTTATTCCCACAAACTTCTTAGGGCTGTACGGAATTTCGACTTCGGCAAAGAGCCAAATTTACGCCGATTCTAATTTTTATTATCAATTTCGCGTGAACTTCAACAAAAATTAAACGCCAATTTTTAAAAATTTTAAATTATTTTACAACACCAATGCATAAAAATATTGTCAGCATTATAGTTAGATAACGCATAACCGGATATTGTAAAATATCCGGTTATGTCTTTTTTTTCTATGAACATTTTGCTTTTAACAGTAATTGGTGCAAATTTGGCTTTGGCTAAAACCTATATATCTATTCTTATTAATAAAATTATATGTACACAAATCTAGCATAAGCTTATCGCTACACACTTATTTTTTATATAAAAAAATTAAATGAAATACCTACTGTATTTTGAGACCTCACAAAATTATTTTAATTTTTTCAGTACGTTTATTATTAAAACAAGTTTTATTAATTTTAGTGTTATAAAAAATGAAATTATTACATTATCTGCATATCTTCTCAAAAACAAACTTTATAAAATCATTTTTAGAATATGTTTCAGCTCTTTTTCCCTAAAAGTTACTATTCCGATTCCTTTCCTACAAAATTTTTCAAAATCTTGAATTATGCATATATAATATTATCAATATATTCTAAAAATAACTTTTTTGTATAATTGTAAATAAACAATGTCCATATCTGCAAATGCTTATACGTATGCATACAGACGTACCAAAACACACAAATGACATGACACACATAAAAATACTGGAAGGAACTAATAAAAACACATCACATAACGTACAAGCATTCAGATTTTTTTCAATCTCTCGAAATATTGAGCAAGAAAAATTATAAGAAAATAAGCACCATTGAATACACGCTGAATGAAGCCGACAATTTGGTGAGTATTTTGTTGTTGCATCACATAACCAAAATTTAATTAACGATTTGAAGTTTGGTGTTTTTACCTGTCAATGATGTTTGCTATTTTTCTCTATAAACGCACAACGTACATGTGCGTAAAAATGCACTCAAAAAATTGTCATGCATTTAAGGATTTTTTTAAAAATTATGCCAGCTCATTGCAACACTCAATATGGCATTTTGATAGTGAAACATTTTATTTGCTTGATAACAATAGCAATTAACAACAGTAACAGTGCTTATAACTAAACACCCAGGATTTTCAATTATTGTACAAAAGGCTAAGATTAAAGATATACGAAAAACACAGTCAAATGTGGGAATTCGCAAGGTTGTACTATAATGAATTTTTTTAGTTATTACATAAATTTTTCATTTATTTTAAAATAATAATTTGTTTTCTTTTTTGCATTTATTAAAAAAATTATAGCTAATTGATGAATAATAATTTTTTAAAATTAAAAGAGATAATATGAAAAATAATATTTTCGTAAGAACTTGGTCCTATTCAAAAAATAGTAACAATATTTATAAACTCAGTTTGCCTTACGCTAACCTCAAGCCTACGATGTTTCGTTAACCTGAATATTCTAATTGTGGAATTTGTCAGAAATTGGCTGTTCCTGCCAATTAAGAGCTGTTTATCGGAACGTTTCTCTTCTTTAAATCGAGGATTAAATTAAATTAAGCTGAAACTCAAACTATGTATTCATCTCAAATCACTCAGCAACAACAAATTAAAATGTTTTTAGAATGAATCATATTTACCAAAATCGACAACATTCTTTAACATTCAGCGAAAAATGCATCGGCGAAAGATCCTGTTACCTATATGTGCGTGTGTGTGTTCAAAGAAATTGGGTGTAAATAAATGAGTGCAATTATACATGATGTCATATTTTTATGTAACTTTTATGCATGTACTAACTAGTTGCGTTTTTTGATTACAACTTCTTAAATTAAATACATATATATATTAAAAAAACCTATTATAGTTGTGGGGATTTATTGAATTAAAAAATATTATTGCCTTTTTTTCTATTCTTTGTAATTTTGTATTAATGCTTGTCAGAAATATTTTTGTTGTATATAGGTACGTGTGTATATGTTTAATTTTTTTTCTATTTCTACTTTTTCTTTCTTTGTTTTTTAAACCATAAATCTGATAAGTTTGTTTTTTTGAGAACAATTAAAAACTTAACAATAATTGCTAATGTTATAACCGCGGGAATGATCGAATTGGGCTATACATTATTTGACTATTGTTAGCTTTGCAATATTTGTAATCTTTGGATTGTAAAATCAGCTATAAATACGTCCCGCGTAAAGACGTTCACTAATCCGGTTTTCAGCGAAAAAAGCGAAGTCGTAAACGGGATTTATGTGGTAACTTGAATTAATTTATTGTTTCCATTATTGTTGGTACTCATATTATAAACGTTCAACAAAGTTTGCATTTGAAGAAGTTGTGTTCATCTCTCGGAATTCTTAAATCTATGGAATAACGAACACTTGAAGATCGTTGGGAGCTAAAACACTGGTGTTGGAAATATAGAGATCTTTCAATTATTAACATTGGTGCTGGTAGTTACGAGGCTTCAACACTATTAATTTGAAATGCACAAACTACAAATAAAGCAAACTCTCAGCTAGGTAAAATTTTAAATACTTTTAAGTTTAAGTTTTCTGAAATTTTCCCACTTCATATTTTTTAACATCATTTTCTTAAAAATCAGTTTTTTATATTCATATTAGAACCATTTACTTCATATCGTACTTTGTTAAATGCCTATTTTTTAAATCAATTATTTGCAATGGACTTTTTACAACCCCTATTCTTATTAAACTGCAGTTGTAAATTTTTTTTTACAAATTTTTAACAATTATTTATTATTTTGATTTTTTATACTACATTTGTTTAAATCTTTTTTTAAATTATGGCGTCACCAAATGATGATTTCAATCGTGCTTGGTTCCTTACAATTTTGTAATTAAAATTACACTTTTGATCATTTAATTTTTTAGTAAGAACTTTTTACAAATTATTACAAAACTTTTAAAACAAAAATGAGTGAAGTTGAACAATAGGAATGAAAATATGAATTCGTTTTTATAAGTTTGTCAAAAAAGCTTGATTTTAGCTTTATTTTTGCTGCTACTATCTTCAGATTACCGAATATGTTGATTTGATTTTAAATTGGAATTAGTCATTTTGGTACACAGTCCACGTTGTTCCAATGTTGAAAAACTTAAAATTCATTTGAGCACTCGTATTTATTTACTGCTTTTAATTTTTGTAATCGTTTAATATTGGCTGTGCATTCTATTTCAAAATTTACATGACCGCCATACATAGGCTGTATCATTTTCTGATTTTTTTTTAGTCGGCGAAATTTGCCAATGTATACTGGCTATAGTCAGATGCTATAGCCAAATGTTCGTGTTTTTCAATTTGGTATGGTTTAAAAATTCAAACATTGTTATAACAATTTGAACTTTAGAACACGGTTGAGTTATTCTAATTGTTTAGCATAAAGTTTGTATAAAATGAATCCTATCGTAATTCAAAATGTGGGCAGTGTAATAAAATGGGTAAAATTCAACAACAGGCACCCAGTGTTTGTGAATACGCCTGATACTGAACATTACTTAAATCACTTATTTTGCAGAAATTAACGGCAGTTAGATTGTAATTGTCAATTTTTTTTAACTTTGAAGAAGCCTTATATTAATCGTGATTCTCAGAGAAATAGAATTGTTGCATGTGCAAAAAACACATCCTAAAATTTTATTATTTTACAATTTTCACTCAATTTATGTAAAATTATTTAAAAGATCTAAACAATTAGATCTAAGTTATTAAATTTTACTCTTCGCTTAATCCACAGAAAGAAAACGTACACAGTACGAAGTGACCTACCTATAACTTCCCTGTCATCTTTCAACTTTTATATTACCGATAACGTTATCAAAAGTTCCCTTCATAATTTGGATCAAGACGCAGATAGAAAAGAGAAAGCGACCAGAAAAAAAGAAAATTACTATACTTACGGCGATTACAACAATAAAAATGCTGGAGTTGCTAAAGATGAAACTCTTGGCGGAATAAGAGAGGAAGAAAACAAAGAAACTGACTCTAAGTTTGTGTACATAGTATTATAATAATATTTGTTCAGATATTTATCAAGTCGTTTTATCACAAGTCTTTTTAATCATATGAGCATCATTTAAAATTTGTAAACTTCAATTGAATTAGATTTTTTGCTTGGTTGAACATTGTCACCGTTTGCGTTAAAAAATTTGTCACCTTTGTTAAAATGTGATTTTTTAACCTTATATTTTCCTTACTGAAATATTTTTATACTTTGTATTTAAAACAACTTTTATTAGAAAGTGTTAAATTACCATCCAAAAATGTTAAACATCCCAAAAATTTCACGATTCCAAAAGATATAAAAGTTAAAAAGTAATAAGACGATTTCCTTGTTTACTACGTACCGGATGAGCCCCAACGGTATTCATAAAACTTAAAAAAAGCGTTATGGTATTACCTTTTTTGGTAACAAAAATAATAACCGTCCAAATTAAAAAAAAATAGATAAGCATAAGATAACAGCTGATACCACTTTTGCAGTTACGATGACGAAGAAATTGAGGCTTATGGTGAAGAAACGTTAAGTCATGAACGACTTAACCAAATTAAATTTATCGATTTTGAACCAGAAGTTTTAAACAGGGTGTTTCGGGTGTCCGTACTTATCAACGGTTAGTGATGCTATTTTCTGAAAAAATTGATTTCAATGTAATATTATTCTAATGGCAGCATTATAACAAATGGTTCATAACATTTAACACCAACTGATAGACTCAGGTACCGATTACTTAGATGAGGTATTCAGTGAAATGAACAAAACAAGCAAGTTTCATTTGAAGGTTTACATTTTTAAATTCAAGTGTTAATTGTATTTATTGATTTTTTGATAAGACAGGAATGTTCTAATTTATATTTATTTAGAAGATGAATTTCCGGCTAACAAAAAATAATCATACAATTTTTAGTTTTTTAAATGGTCATTTTTATGATAATTGTTATTAACCAGTTCTGATCATACACTTTTATAAATAGAATTTAACTTTCCTGAGAACATATAGAGGTCTACCAAAAGATATCAATCAGTACAGATTGGGAAGCTATGTATGGCAAGTCATTGAAGAAATATGGGTGCTGATTGTGTTGTCCATAGTCCTCATATTTGTTATATTTACTATTATGATCCTCAACAGGTTTATTTTTTCAAACTTTAAAAACATGTTCAAAGGTTTCTGATACTGTAAAAATGAAATAATTAAAAAAATTGAGATTTATCAATTCAGAAACTCAGAAACGTTTATAAATAAAAAGTGAAAACCGTTGAATAAATTTAGAAATTCGACAAAGTTAATAAGCCAATGTAACAATTTTATTATTTTTAATTCTAAAAAAAATAATAAAATTTAATATACTCTGGAATAAATAAAATAATATGTCTTTGTGAACCTTTTGGAAATTATAAAAATTAATTAAATTATAAGTTGCGTCCTTAAACGTAAACGATAAAAATGATAATCATTAATAATAACGATTAATTTTTTTAGATTTTGCAAAGTACGAAAGAAACAAAAACTAAAATATCTAGGCCAACACTATATAGTGAACAGATCTGCTCAAACTGATCCAGTTTTAACTAATTACATTTTTGGAGCCTCCACGCCGTATATTGTATCTAAGCAAATGAATTATATAGGCATAAATAACAGTGCTGGTAGCGGTGATAACAATGAAGCTTCAATGCTGAACGTTGATGAAAACGACGATGACGAGTGTTTTGTTAATATATAGATGCTGTCTGTGTATCTGATGACTATTGAAAATATAGACCAATACTAATAAAATTGTTGGATTTTGTGTTTTATTCATAATGTAGAATAATAAAAATCGTTTTTTAAATCTGATTTAAAATATTTTTTGTCAACAACATTTGTTCAAATTTGAATTCGATAATTGAAAATATTGGTGCTTATGTGTAAAGTTATGTATATATATATAGATATATATTATATATATATATATATATATATATATATATATATATATATATGTTGGTAATAGACCATAATTTTTACAATATTCCATAAATTCTACCGAATGTTTGGCGTTAATATGTTTGTAGTTCGTTTTTTCAATTTTTCTCACTAAAGTTTTTTAAAATTCAAAAAAAAACTTATTTTCCGAATTCATGCTGCAAATACGGCCATATTTCGATTCCGAATGAATCATCATCAGTGCGATTTAGTTTATATAGGGAAATATTCACTTTGTCAAAGTGAACTTAGATGGAAATTAGGTGTCAGATTTCTTTATTGGCTGGTCCATCTTCGTTGGTTTCTTTTTCAGCATCATATTCTTCTTTGTCACTATTTACAATGCTAGATTTTATTACTTCTTTGTTTTCATTGTTGATTAAGCGTCGGGTTAGAAGTGAAGTTGTCATTTTTTGTTGTATATTTATTTTTGGTTTATTGATGTCAATTAGGACTGCATATGCAATTTTAAGATGCGTGTAGTTGGTGTTCTGGTATATTACTTTGATGTTGCTGTCGAGGATTTCACGGCTAATAGTGATTGAGTGTGTTGAGTCCAAATGAGATTTAATAGCACCACTCTGTTTATGCATCGTAAGCCTGCATCGTGTGCATCGGTACATTCACTTTGTCCATTCAAACAAATTCCTGTATTTATTTCGTTGACATAGACCGCAGTTTTGAATCGTTCTTTGCCACGGGTGACCAACACATCGAGGAAAGGTAAACGTTGTTCTTTTTCAATTTCAGTGGTAAACTTTAATTTTGATTTGTTTAAGGTACTAAGAAGATGGGTGATTTGTTCAGGATCGTTATAAGAGACATCAACATATCTAGCGTAGATATTTGGTTTTAAATTTGCATTATTTTTGAAGGTCTCATTCTCCAGCTGTCCTAGGTAAAATCTGGCAAATAGGACGCCTACGGGGGTCCCATAGCGACACCGTCGATTTGCTTGTAAAGTTTGCCTGTGGGGCTGTGGAATGGTGCTTCGGTAGTGCAAATTTGAAGAAAGTACTTCAGTTGTGCTTTCGGTATGCTCAATAGAACCATATCTGAGTGGTAAACGGTGTTGATAATTATGTCAATTGTATCATGAATTGGTAAATTTGTGTATAGTGATTCAACATCCAGAGAGGCAATAAATTTGGACGGTTTATTAATGCTGAGGAGATTAATAAACTCACGGAAAGATTGTAATGTGTAATTGTTTGGAATATATGGGGTTAAAATTTTGTTCAAAAATTTTGCAACAGGGTATGTGACTGTTGTAATTTGGCTAATAATTGGTCGGATGGGATGATTAACCTTATGCGTTTTTATATTTCTATATAAGTAGCCAGGAGAGTATTTGCCTATAAGTGATGGATGTTTGTCATCGGTGATATGCTTTTTTATTTTCTTAATTATTGTGTTTAGTTCAGTTTTTAGTTGAGGAGTGAGATCTTTTTTGATTACTTGGAACTTTTTTGTATCCTTGAGAACATCATTGAGTTTTTCATGGTAATCTGCTCGGCCAATAATGACATATTGTGCCGATTTATCTGCACGTCGTATTACAATGTCTTTATTTTCCTTCAGTTGTTTTGCCGCTTCTTTCATTTCATCATTGAGTAGCTTGCTTTGGAAACTCCCACGTTGTTTCTTTGCTTTTTTCTATTTCTTTCTTTATCTCTGGTGACTTAAACTTACACTTCAATAACTTATCTTGTTCTTATACTCGTAGATTTAATGATATTTTGTCTCTTGTACTTTTTCTACTCATACTTACTCATAAAACATTATTGATTTTATTATACCTTCATCTTTTTCTAAGCCTATTAATGTTTCTGCTAGCCCTATTCATTATTCTGACCACTTCCTTATTGGATTTGTATTTTTTTTTTAATTTTTTTTCTTCTAACTTATCTTTGTCTATTTCTAAAAGATGCTGAACTTCTCTCAATAAAGATATTTTTCTTCAATCTTTTACTGAAACATTTTTTAATACTTCCTTATTGTCTATGGTTTTAATATCTACATTACTTCTATTCTTAATAAGCTTATTCCTCTTAAATCTTTTACTTATAGGCACTATTCTCGTAAGGCTCCTTGGTTCGACTATGCTTGTTTATTAGCTAAGAAAAGTGTTAGAAGACTGGAGAAAGCCTACAGGCTAAATCCATCTAATTATCATTTTTTTCTTCATAACTTGACTAGACTTACCGCTAAATCTTTTTCTGTATTTACTTCTATAAATCTTCTAGATCTTACTAAAATTATACCAAAAAAGTTCAATTCATGGCAGATCGTTAATTCAATATTTCGTTAGTGTTTCCTCAAAGTAATCCTCTCACTCATTTTTTCTGCTCAACAGTATCATGACTGTTTTGTAAATAAAATTAATTTATTAAGAACACTTAATTCTCATTCTACTCCTCATAACTACTAAACTTACTACTGAATCTTTTTCTGTATTTACTCCTATAAATCTTCTAGAATTTACTAAAATTATTAATTTTGTTCTCTAAATCTACTTCGTTCTAACTTACTTAAAAAAATTTCTTAAACATTTTATCCTATCATTCTCAAATTAGTTAATTTATTTCTTTCCACCTCTAAATTTTCTATTTCTTATAGAAATTCTATTGTTATTCCTATTCTTAAAAACTCATTTTTAGATACTTCCTCCTTTAAATAAAATGAAAAGGTGTTAAGTTTTATGTTTTATATTAAAACATTATGATTTATGATATATGATATACATTTATTTTTTTTGGACCAAATGTTCTTTGCTTTGTGCTTTGTATGTAACTTCACTTTTTCCTTTTTCGGTTGATCCGGTTGATAATAAACAAGTCAAGAACGTTGCTTAGTTTATGTTTCTTCTTTTAATATCTTTCAATATTATATCAATTAATTAAACGATCTGCGTGACAAGAAATTTAACAGTTTAAACTGTAATTCCTTGCTACCTCAATCTGGTTTCAGACCTGCTCACAGTACAGAAACTTCTTTACTCATGAAACATAATGATGTCCTTCGCTCTAGTGATGATAGTAATCTAACTCTTTTTCTTGCTTTTGAATTTTTCTCTGCTTTTGATACTGTTGATTTTACTATTCTCCTGAGGCTACTAGGCCATTCTTTTAATATTACTGATTCTTTTTTTTCTCTTTATTATTGCAGCTCTGACATACGCAGAACTACTTACAATGTTACAGATAAATTATCTAAATATCTTTTATTATGTTCTTCATATCTTCAACCATTGATTTGAAGCAGCCATCTTCGCCACAAAGGCTGTTTATTCTTTTCACACGACGTACACGTGTATTTTATGTGCACGCGCAAGCACCGCATCATATACGCTGAGTATATGATAGCCATTGAGATGTTTGACTCAGCGAGCATTTGAACCACTGAGCCATCTCGCCAGCCAGTATGCGACAACTTTACGTCGTCTACCTATTTACCAGCTTCGAAAGGATGGACGGCTGGGTTGGCCGGCTATCCGGATGAACCTGTAGAAACTCTTGTTGTTTCTCACAAGTTTCGTAAAGTGTGGCTTTATCTTTAATTCTAGCATGTCACTTTCTTTTCAGATTCACGCTAACGACTCGGCCACGAGACCCCTAAGATTCTTGTCTATCTTGGTTTTCTCTTTATCTCTGTAATCGTTTTACTTTTTTTCTTCTTAATAATTTTACTACTTACTTTTCTACTCTTATTTTTGGGGTACCTCAGAGTTCTGTCCTTGGCCTTCTTCTATTTAAACTCTATACTTCTGAACAACCTCGTATTATTATTAATTTTTCTTTCACTAGTCAACTATATGCTGATGATTCTTATATTTATACTTCTTTTCCTCCATCTAATTTCAATAGTGTTCTTCATAATCTATTTCTTTGTCTTCGATATCGCTTGGTCTGACTCTATGTGTCTTAAACTTAATCCTTCTAAATTTTACTTAATTTGTTTTAATAAATCTAAACGCTCTATTACTATTTTTTCTATTATCTCACCTGATTTAAAACTCTTGTTGTTTCTCACAAATTTCGTAAAGTGTGGCTTTATCTTTAATTTTAGCATGTCACTTTCTTTTCAGATTAATAATGTTGCTAGAAGTTCTTACTTTCATCTACCTAGAATAAAAAAAACTTTTGCCTTTTCTTGACAATCCTACTCTTCTTGTTAATTTAGTTTGATTTAGGATTGATTATTGTAACTCGCACTACTATAGTCTTGATTCTATAGTCCTGATTCTACACTCTATCCTTTAAGTAAAGCTTTTAACTCTGCTGCTTGTATAGTGACTTGTGCCCCTTTAATTTCTCATAAATCTCCATATCTTGTTTTTTTGCACTGGCCACCTATAAAATATAGAATAATTTGCACGTTAATGTATAAGTTTCAATCTAAATTATTTTTTAAGTACTTATCAGATACATTTATTGAACCTAAACGCCCGGTTTACGATCTTCTACTTGTTTTTATTTCTTAACTCGTGTTAAACACTCTTTTGCTAAATCTGCATTTGCTTTTTTTGGCCCTTTTCTCTGGAGCTCTCTACCTCTTTTTCTGACTACTTCTCCATCACATACAAAGTTCAGAGCGGATCTCAAGACCTATCTGTTTGCTAAATTCATTGAGTAGTGTTGAGTAGAGCTTTATAAATTAATTGATTGATTAATATCAGGACGAAGTGATTTGAAAAGACACGACAGTGGAGGAATCTCATCATAGTCCGTCAGCGAATATTGAAACTTCTGGCCCTGC